CATGTGCCTTCCTTGCCCTTATTTGGTCCTTCCTGTTCCTGTCCCCATTTAGTTCTATTAGTTCCAGGTGTTCCTTGTTATTAGTTATCCTCTTCACCTGTCTGCCCCTCGTTATCTGCCATATTTAGTTCTAGCCCGTTCTGTTCTCCCTTGTCTGGATTGTTTAGGTCTACGTGTGTTCTCCTGTTTCCTTTGGATGATTATTAAAGACTGTTTGAATTGAGTTCTGCATCTCGGAGCTTATGTAAGGCTTAGCCTTCCCCTGGCCATGGGGACTTGGGGCAAAAATGGCACTAAATTGGACAAAAATGCCCCTGCACAAATAAATAAAATCTATTACGTCTGTTGCTAACAAAGTGAAAATGAATGGGAAGTGTCGATAGCGGCATCAAATTAACATCCGCTCATGTTGCACCATTTTTCTTTTTAAAGCATTTAAAGCATTTTATAATGTTGCGCATTATAACCAATCACACACGATTCTGTTGAGCTTAAGAATACAATGGCCAATCAGAGGCGTTTAGATGAGTCATCGCTGTAATAAATAAATATATATATTTATATATATAAATTATACTATATAGTAGGCAAAAAGCAGTAGGTTAGCGAATAAATACATTTTAATAAAAGTACAAGTAATTAATATAAGTATTCATAAAAGCGTAGGCAAAAATTGCACTAATTCTCACGAGATTAAGACGTATGTATACTTAATTTGCGTTCTAATATGCCTATTTACCTAATCGCGCATAATCTCATGTTTTGTATGGGATTTTCATGAAGACACTTAGATAAGATTGTGTGTCAGGTCATTCAACACATTATACTAAAGTTTAGTAGTTGGCAGTGTTTTATATTATTATTATTATTATTATTAGGTGACTCACACATTTTTTTGGTGTGTGAGTTTTTTCAAAAATGTTTTTTTTTCACGGCGACCACCAAGCTTGCCTATGCCCATAAACGGTACTGAATCTGGCAATACTGCATACATATCATATACACGCCAAACACGTGAGTATCATATGCACGCCAAGACATTGCGTATAGTGCTTGAGGTGGGCCGGTACGGCTATTCAAGTACTTCTATATATTAGTATTTCTATATTTTATATTTTAGTCTTGTGTACTGGTACTTCTGACATTTTCCCGGTACAACTATGTGCATGCAATGACGTGATCAGTTAAGTCATTAAGTTTCCAAAAAGGCGATTAAAGCTGCCTTAAAGCTGTGCATGCATGCAATATGTTATAAATAAGTCACATTTAAGAACATGTCTCTGAAATGTTTTTCAAAACTGTCCTGAAGCAGCCCAGCACGGTCTCCCTCAACACACCCGATTCAACTGTCAGTTTATTAGTAAAGACTTTAATGCTGCCTTCTATCGGAAATTTCCTATTTCCCACTTATGAAGTCATGATTACAAGTTTGTCGTATTCAAGTGCTTTAACGTTGGAAAGAATAAAATGTAGCATCCCATTGGTTGACAATCATATAAACATTCACCGTGCTACACATGCAGTTTGCTGACAATTCTGGAATTTTGGTTAAGCATGCTTCAGTTAATCACAATTCTTTCATGATTTAACAGGAGGGGGCAATTAATTTTTCACATAGGGACCAGGGAGGTTTGGACAGCTTTTTTTCCTTTAATAAACGAAATTGATGAATCAACATTTAAAAACTGCAATTTTATATATATATATATTATACAATTAGAAATACAAACCAGCTGTTCAAACAATTTTCAAAATGTATGCCACTGAAGATAAAGAGTCTTTATTTGTCATACACACAAATACACCCAACATACTTATACAGTAAAATCATTTTCCTGCAATTGTTAATTTTAACTTTAAGCAATGCAAACATGTATAAGGGGGAAAAACTAAAGAATAAAGGCAAAAAAAAAAAATAAAATATCAAAGACATTGATTATAATTATGTATCTAACCATCCTCCCAGCAGTCTCAGTCAAATTACTGAACATCATATGCATATTACACACAATTATATGTATACATTTGTAAAATCTGGTTTATTAGTGTGGGTTATAACACACATTGAAGTAAAATCTGTAAAGAGAATGTTTTAATTGTTTTTTCTTGGATTTTTTAAAATATTCTGTAACAGATTCTGATTATATTTCCTTTGTAAATAGTTGTCTTATTGTTTTTCACACATTTATCAAAATGCATATGTCTTAATCAATGATTCTTACTCACCACACTGATCAATGATTATAAAGCAACTACAAACAGACTATGGGTATGAATAAATATCTATAATTCTGACTATACTTACTTACTATACTTCAGATCAATCATGTTTTCATTACATACGGTGATGTATCACCCTCAGTCTGTTATATTTTGCTTTGATTTTTTACATCATAATAATTACCACATACAGAAAATAAAAGTGTTAATTGAACAAATGGAACATATATCTTATATCCCAAGTTTTGAAAGTATACCAACAAGTCCAACAGCTCCACCAACTGCACCAATAGCTCCAGCAGTTTTAGCACCAAGTACACCACCAACAACAATGGCTGCTAAATAAAGTAAAATCCTGTACTTAGAAAAAAACATCCTAAATCCAGTGCCTGGATTTTCTTGTCTGAATCTATCAGCTTCTTCAAACATCTGATTACTGTAATGTCCTCCTCCATTCTGCTCTATCATTGTGTCGATCTTCTGCAGATCATTCATCTGCTCTCTGTTATTTTCATCTTTATTGTTGAGGACGTGAAATCTGCCTCCACACTGATCAACTAGATCTCTTAATTTGCTGTTGTGCTTAATAAGCTCCTCTATGGGCTCTTCTTCTAGCTGATCTCCATAAGTGAAGAGAATGATGGAATATTTTAACAGACCAAACACCATCTCAATCTGCTGAAGAATCTGCTGCTCCTGATCAGTGAACTTCATAGTCAGAGGAAACACAATGAGAAAAGCATGAGGTCCAGGACTGGATAAATAAACACTTCTCGCTATCTCTGTCATTAACTCATCATGGCTCATCTGTGTATCAAAAAATCCAGGAGTATCAACTACAGACACAGATCTGCCTGAAACAGTGGTGTCACCCTCTGAACATTTATGTGTTACTGAATTCATTCTCCTCACAGATCTGAACACTTTCTGTCCCAGTATTGTGTTTCCAGCTGCACTTTTCCCAACACCAGTTTTGCCCAGAAGAATAATCCTTCTGGATGAATGTCTGGAGACTGGAATATCCTTGATGTTGACAGGAACTCTTGGCAGTCATTTTTTGGACACTTTATGAAAGAAGAAAACAGATCACACGATCACATTTTCACCTTTTATTTGATGTACTTTACATACTGGACATACTTTTATGCAGTAAATATGCAGTAAAGAACTATTTTGTAACAACATAAAGTTTTGGTTAGTTTGATGTTCACGTGCTTATGTCATAAAAAGCCATGAAAGTTATGCATTATTGCTTAGTAAACTTATATTGTGATAATAAATTATTTATAAATCATATTATTTATATATTATGTAAGGGCTAATCCATGGTAAGATGTGCATTCAATTATTTTAATGCATGACATGGAGGCAAAGAAGCACTCAATGCACAGCGGAGTGCATTTAAATGGTTTATTGCAAAGCTAGACATGGATTTTCCACTTACACCATGCTCATTTACCAACACTGACAAGTTAAAGCTGTTTATGTTTGCAGGAGAATATTTGACCAGAATGATTAAAATGACTGTTATGTTTGTCAGTTACAGCTCTTTAGATCTAGCATTCTGCCCACTTTAAAGAAGACAGCTATTATTTTAAATAATAATTATTTCCTGGGGTAAAATAATATAAAACAACAATTTATAAAACAGCAATTTTACCCCCTTTTTGCTGAAAAATATAATGTAGTGATTCATTATCAAAGCTATTTTCTTAATAAAAGTTATCTCTGTGCTCCTGAATGTTTGTGTTTTTGCAGCGCAATCGCCAATCTCTGTGTGCAAGTGATCTCAGAATTGAGTGTTCAGACCAGTCCATGGTATAAAATTAATTAATAAGCAAGGAAACTTAACTCCTTCATCACTAATGCGATCCATGGCTAAAACGTTCCCTCTGAATATAGTAAAATTAGACTTACGTTTTTCTAAGATCCAATGGAAAATTTTAGAAATAAGAGATTTCACTTGGTCTCCTATTTTTTTAATATTGTTGTTGAACACATGGCATCTGCCTTGAAACTTCTGAATAAGTTTCTTCAAGGTTCCATTACTATTAACAAATTGATTTATGGACGTCTTTCCTTCTTCCAGTTCATCTCCTCTGGTAAAGAGAATCCAGGTGTTGTCTTTACTTTTTTCTCCCAGCAGCTCTTCAATCTTCTCCACAGTTTCTTGATCTTCTTGAGTGAATCTATCAGCCCGGAGAACCAGGAGAAATGCACACAGGCCTGATTCACATTTCTGCAGAAGCTCCTGATATTTCTCAAGCTCTTTCTCACTCTCTGTACCATAAAATCCTGGTGTGTCATAAACAGTGATCGGTAATCTACAAATATCACCGACTTCAGCAGCTACATTTTGAGTGACAGAAGTTGAGCTTCTCCTTGATGTGAAAGCTTCTCGTCCCAGTATTGTGTTTCCTGATGCACTTTTCCCAACTCCTGTTCTTCCCAGCAACACCAAATTTAAATTTGGAATTTCCATTTTTATTCTGTATCCTACAAAACAAACAAATACATAAATAAAATAAAGTTGGAAGTTGGATTAAACAGTGTTAGTATTTTTCCCCAATTATAATTATTTTATATATTTAGATATTTTTGTATAAGTCTTGTGAATCCTTCATGACCACCACTTACAGTATCTAGTGCAATGTTTGCTCTGTTCCTGGAGGCCTGCAGCCAGAGATGGACTGACTATCTGGAGCACCAGGAGTGGTGCCGGAGTATTTTATAGTTAATTTTTAACACGTTTTACATTTGTATTAATTAATATCAAAGTTTTACATTGATATTAATCATGTTAAAATGTTGTTCATTTTTAGATAATGTTAGGTTATAATAATGCTAGATCATGGTAACTATTGGGTGATGTTAATGCATGCAACCGTACTAAAGTGTTGCCAATTCATTATAGCTCCAGTATGGAACTTTTTGTTGTTGTTTAAAACAAACAAATAAGCAAACAAATAAATAAATAAATAAATAAAATCTTCAAGGCACCTAAAGGGATAGTTCATCCAAAAATTTTAATTCTGTCATTAATTACTCACCTCATGTCATTCAAAACCTGTAAGACATTCGTTCATCTTCAGAACACAAATTAAGATATTTTTGATGAAATCTGAGAGCTCTCTGACCCTCCCAGCAAGAATACTTACACGATCAAGGCTCAGAAACATAGCAAGGAGATTGGTAAAATAATCCATGTGACATAAATGGTTCAACCGTAATTTTACGAAGCTAGGAGAATTCTCTTTTTTTTTGAGGAAAGAAAACAAAAAGAATGACTTTATTCAACAATTTGTCTCCTCCGCGTCACCCTATATCATCATTTTGGAGAGTATCACATACGTAAACAACGTATGCTGTTCTGTGTCAGCAGCACCGTACGTGTATACACTGTTTACGTAGTTTACGCTTTGATCTGAACGTAAAGAACGTATCTGTGCACATACGTTGCATAAGTTGTTGTGTACTTTTACGTGTGAGAAGGGTATGTCGCCTCAACAGACACTTGATAAGTACGTCTTTGATAAGTATGTACGTACTGCATTAGACAGTAATAAAAATTAAAGGTGAACACGCTTATTTATAATCCAGTAATATAATAAGTAATACATAATATCTTAAGTATATTCAGATGCTTATAGTCTTGTATTTTATTTTACTTAAAGGAATGTATTTGTATTTTACTTTATTTAAGGGATAGTTCCCCAAAATCAAGAACTTCATAACCAAGTAATCACTGAGTAATCATTTACTCATCTTCATGTCGTTCCAAACCTGTATGATTTTCTTTCTTTTGTGGAATTGTCCTATTATGCAATACTTTTTCATGTCCCTCAAAGATATGATTTTTGGCTTCCTTATGATAAGCACAATGGCTGAATTTTACAAAAACTATCAACACTAGTAATATTTATAATACATATCACATATTTATCCATTTCATTTAACAACAACTCTGTCCGTTTAGTTGTTTATCTATTTATTTTCTTGTATCTTTTTTCCCATTTTAATTTATGTTGACTCAGTATTTTGCTGTTTTCAAATGTCATCACTTGAAGGCACTCTTCATACTCTGCTTGCTCATGGAATAAAGCTAAGAATGAAAAAATTGCCACTGCTTTATTGTATATTGTGGAAAGTGGTCTTAAAGCTCTTAAAGCCATTATAACTTACTGAATCATAAGTTTTGGATTGCGAGAAAACTAGATAAATGAAAAAAAAAATACTAAGAATAAAAATCAAAGTACACTTTCATATTATGATCCAATTATTTTGATGACTTAGATAACAAAATAGATAACATTTTTTAAACAAATAGTTATTAAATATGTTAACATGAATTAAAACCACAACAAGAACACCATGTGATGTTTCAGATAAATGTTTAATCATTTAATAACAAATATTTTATCTTTGCTTGGAGATGTTGGTTTTACCTCTGTAAGCGCTCTCTTCGATTCTCTTCAATCAAAAGTGCATCTTTATGTGATGGTTCTCTTTGTTTCCCTATATTTGTCCTATATTTGTGGGTTCTCCCTTAAGTTTGCCTCCCTATATTTCTAATTGGTAAATGGGGTAATTGGTCTGTTTCTTTAAAGGGATTAAAGAGTAAATAAGTGTGTCTTTATATAAATATTATAATACCTGTATATTATCTACAAAAAGCAAATAAAATTGTATCTTCATTTTAAATGGACAACAATATACAACCCCAAATCAGGACAAAAAAAAAAAAAAGTTGTTGGACGTTTTGTAAAAGTTTTGCAATGAAATCAGGAATGTGATTTGTTAATTGGCTTTAACTTTTATTTAATTGACAAAAGTACAAAGAAAAGATTTCCAAAGTTTTCACAGACCAACTTAAAAATATTTTGTAAATATAAACAAATTTAGATTTTGATGGTTGCAACAGACTCCAAAAAAAGTTGGGACAGACAGAGGCAAAATAAAAGTGAAAGTGAAAGAACACCTACCGCACGAAGAAAAAAAAAAACAAAAACAAAAAATCAAATTAATAAGCAACTCCTGAATGGAATAACACAAAATAGGTATAATTTTAAAGCTTAAAATTTTGGTTTTAATGAATGTAATCATTTTAATCATCTCTTAACGATCGCTGAGCAGTCCCTCTAAACTGGAGTGTACCGCGGGATATTAGTAAATGTTACTAATCATATTTTTCAAACAACTGCCTTGATCAACAAAAAATGGATATCATTTGGAAGCTTAGAGTCTGAGCTTTACAATGCATGTAGCCAAAGTAGTGCTGAGTTACTTTCTGATAAATGACAAAAATAGTTTTCATAATTTACGAAATATGTTTTTTGTGACATGTACTGTAATATGTCAAAAATATCATACAGCTCAGATAGTCATGTGTCATATGTCATTTGAAAGGTCTCATCAAGTAGAATAAAACAAGGCTTTGAATAAACTTGAGCGAGTTTTTGTACAAGAAGTCACCCCCAGACTCATATGAAAATAATATATTGATGTCACCATTTTGCTCGTAACTTTATAAAACAGAAATAGACACCATTATTTAGAGCAGATTCTCCTGATTAAAAGAGCCCAAAATCACTATAATCCGTCACACATAAAACTGCACAGGCGGCATGTAGCTTAGAAAAAAATAAAAATGTAAGGTAGCTGTCATGTGGCGATTTTGCTCATAACTTCATGAAACATGCATATATCATAGAAAATGGCACTCATTATTTGCAAATTATGGCACTCATTATTTAACCTCTTAAGACCCGAGAAAAATCTTTTAGGAAAATGTTTTATGTCCTCGGTAGAGGACATCGTCATAACAGAAAGTCATATTTTGATTTGAAACCCCATAACATTTTTCCTGAGATTATGATTTATGCCACACAGTTTAAAAATTAGTCAGATTTATAAGAGTGTCACTAAATTAATTTCAGGCATTTTTGAAGACCAATGAGAGGGAGTGGTCATGGTGAAACATCCAAATATTTAGTATCTCTGAAAAGCCCTGAATGTGCTCTGTACAGGACATCCAGACTTAAAACTGTGGCATGTACAGTCTCAGAGAAATTCACAAAAATATAATGTCCTCATATGAGATCACAGGGTCTTACGAGGTTAAATAAAAGCTTTGCAGATGGATCTGCACGTCTCACGTCTCTGTCGCCCCATAACACTTTCAGTGATGAGTTCTTAAAATGACCTTTTTAAATTATTTAAAAATAACTACTACTTAGTGTGAAGAATATTTTTAAAAATTGAACATTTTTGAAAAAAAACCCCACACTGTAAAGAAACTTTTGTGCAATGGAAATATTCCATGGATGTTAAAGGTTATTCATTTGTTAATTAGTCCATTTAGTTGCAGTTTCATTAATTATTACATAATATTACAATTTAACATAAATCTTTCTAACTTAATATAAAATATCAACATCACTTATGTGAAGTGTGGGTAATGCTAAGTTTTTTTATTTTTTCATTTCCATGATGATTATAATAAAGTGTACAAGTTCCATATGAGTTATTAGCCTTACCTGTACAAACAATCTTCGAGATACAAGTTGTGACTTGCGACGCTTTCTGCAGAAAGAAATTGTATGAAATGGTTGCTTTCGATTTCATTCTTAAAGGGGTGGTTCACCCAAACACAATTATGACATCGCTTAATCATGCCATTCAAACATTTTTTTTTTCTTCTTCGGTGAAACACAAAATAATATTTGAAGTATGTTGGGGGAAACAACACTGGACTCCACAGACTTTTACTCAAAAGCATTTGTCAAAAGAAATCAAACTTTTTATCAAATTTACCCTCAGAAGATGACATAAATAAAGAGAAAGCAGGCTGCATATTTAAAATTTGAAGTAGAAAAACTGAAATATTTTCTTGTAAAACATGCGCAAATAATCTTTGTTTTAATTACAACTTATATTGACTATTACTATGGTCTTAACATGAGCTCTGTGGTTAAAATGTATGTATTTATTTGAGCAGTCTAATCAAGTCATGTCATTCAAGGAAATTTTGCTTTAGTATTACATTTTTATCATCATCAACGCCCCTGAAGAGAATCCACACAAGCATGTGACTTTCTGGAAGAGAACGATCGTCTGGCTGTTTGTTCCCTTTATATAACTGCAGTACTTGTCAAGACAAGTTTTGGATTATGAAAGGAATTATGAATAGTCCACATGATGCTACAGTTTAGATTTCCAAAGTGTCTGATAAGAGCATGTTTTTATTGCAGCAAACATTTGAAAAATGGAATAACCATTTATGATATAAAATTAGCCCAGCTTTTTTCAATATGAGCTGACATTGGGTTAAACTCTGCAACCCAACACTCCATTTCCCTGTAAATATAGACATGTAAATGTCTGTGTAAACAGGCACATGTAAATAATGTCTGTGTTCTTTGAAATCATGTGATATATCAGAAAGCGAAAGGTTTTGAGTGTGTGTGTACTAATTTAATTTTT